ACGCATATTCAGAAACAGTCAATGTCTATGAAACCAGGAAAAGGGGTTCTTAAATAGCAAAAGATTGCTGGGCTACAAGTAAGAACTGATTGCATCAGGTGCTAAGGGCTGAATATCCAAGGCCAACGAAATGGCAGCCGAACATAATGCTGGACACATTATCGCTTCTAATCTCTGTCTATGAAAATTATGATGTGCTGCTTGAACACTTTATTCTCCCTTGTAATTTTCCTTCTAAGCTAAATTATGGCACTCTGAATGAATGGGTTATTACTGCTTTTAATCTATAAAAAAGGGGATTTAAAGCACAATTTCACTTGAGGCGTCCTGAGGTTGAGGCCTTGACATCAGCTACCGGTTCACGGACCTTTCTAGCTACTATCCCCTATATTTCTTTACAGGTTATATCCCAATATTAGTGTTATCATTTTTTTTTTTATTTCAGCTACACTGTAAAAAAAAACTATAAAAAAATATAACGGCAAAAAGTCAAGAAATCAAAGATTTTTTTGTTTGCTTTTTAAAAAAGTTAATCAGGTTTTTCTGAAACACTAAATTTTGTTACAAAGTTCAACATAACATTTTTAGTCAGTTTGATTGATGTAAATTGAGATTGTTAGAAAGGTTAATTTAAAGGGCTCCTATTTTAACCCTTTTTCAAGATTTAAGAAAAGACTTTTTGTGTCTGTTTGCAGTGATTGCTTGTTTATTACTGCATATTATTTATTTTTTAAAAGTTACACTTTATAAACTACAAGTTGATTGCAAAGTGAACCAAAATTAGCAAATTTTTGATAAAAAAACACTTTAAAATATATTTTATAACTGAGAATTTATTTCTATTCTCCTTCTATTTTCTTTCTGAAGCCTAAAAAAAACTTGTCCCATTCTTGTGAACCCAGTCTCATGCCTTGTCTCATGGGATATGCATCTCGTCACACTATTATATTTCTCAAAATAGTCTCCTAAAGTAAACAAGGCAACAGTTATTCGATGGAAGTCACAACAAAAAAGTAACACAGAGAAACTCTACTACAATTTAAGGTACAGTAAGTGTATATTATTTTATAAGTTCTTGTTATGATGAGTGGGACTGGACTGGCAGGCCAGTGGAAAAAGTGGAGACAAGTGACACGTGTGTTACATTGATCTCAGGACTCTCAGAAGAAGGATAAAAGGAGGAGTGATGATGATGATGACAGTGAAGGACAGAACAGGCCAGAGACATTTTATGTTTTATGCCATTTTATGCTGGTCATTTTTGTTTTGTTATTTGTTCTTTTGACGATTAAACTTTAGAATAAATATTAGCGTCATCACTCCAGTCTTCAGTGTCATATGATCATTCTGAAATAATTCTAATATTCTGATTTAGTTGCTTAAATTTCTTTTTTTTTTATGGGAGGAAATTTATCAGAAATGACCAATTCAGTCTTCTCCAAAATTTTACATGTAATTCAATGCATTTCTTTACACTTTCCTTTGCAATAAATTGTTAAATAAATTAGCACATTTAGAGTGAAATTGATTAATTTATCTTCAACATATTGTTATAAGTGATTAAAATAAAAAATGCAAACCAGATATAGAGTTAAATAAAAGTGCTTTTGCTTACCAGATGTAATTTATTTGGATATGATTAAAATGGTGCAGGTCATAGTACATACTGTGCAATTTAAATGCTTGTAATTTAATGGACGAATGTAAAATAAAGTCATTCTTTGTAGGGGAGTTGTAGTGGTACCCATAAACTCCAGAACTCCAAACATCCAAACTCCAGGTTGGCCGTTGCGTTTACATGCTCAACAGAAATGACTGTGATTGGCTCTAATGATCATCGCTTTACCACTTTTCACTAATAGCGAACACAGATATATGGAAACTGAAGTGTTTGAAATACATATATATCAGAGGATCCATTCATGAGCAAACATAAGAGCAATCTGCTGACAGATCAGCTGATAGACATGGATTTCAAATGCTCTCATGTCCATTTCTCTGTGTAAGTACTTGTTTAAGAGATGATCAGTCATATCTGTTGAGCATGTGAACGAAATAGCCAATCGGTGGTGTTTAGGGTGAAGTGAAGTGGTGAAGAGAGTATTGTCAAGAACTTTTACCCATACTCAAAACTGGTACTATTTTTGACTCATCAAAGGCTACGTTCACACTGCAGCCAAATGTGGCCCGAATCAAATTTTTTTGCCCACATGTGACTCAGGTAATGACAGTGTGAACAGCCCAAACAGCATGGAATCTGATCTTTTCAGTTCTGATTTGTACCACTTTCATATGTGGTATTAAATCACACAGATCTGATGTTTTGCAATGCGACCGCAGTGTGAACGGTTATGTCGGATTTCATGCTACTTTTACATAATCTTCGAGCAACATGCGCCATCATTCTGTGCTGCAAATATCATCTACTCCTCAGCAGCACAGTAGGAATGGCACACAGGGTAACTACTTTACCACAGAAAGTTTTTCATATTGAAGACAATTTTGAAGGCAAAACTGGTGCTTGTTAACCAATCTGGTTAACGATTGGGCAACGGTTGGATCGCGAAGCTGAAGAGCGTCGGGGTTGATGCAGATGGGGGATCCGTGCCAGGGCCGGAGTGGGACTCCTTTTTAGCTCTGCAGTTTCAAGCCTAAGACCGGCCCACCTCAGTCGACGACTGACTATATTAAAATAATGTCATTTCCAATTCAGTTTCTAATGACACTAACATGTCTTTTTCAAGGACTGCTTTAGAACTTCAAATGTTTTTCATAAATATGAGAACATTAATTCTTTATAGATATCCAGTCCTTTGTAACGGTCGTCACACAAAAAAATAAAATATGTACCCCTACATAAGTAACCCAAACAGTATTTTACTGTCTTAAAAATTATACTCTGGTGAGGTTCGAACACGGATCGGCTGCGGCGTTGTATCATAACGTGCTAACTATTGTATCATAACGTGCTGACCACGATAACGCTGTTAGGCACTGTTCTGTTATCTGCTGGTTTAATGTCTACTCATTTTTTACCCTACTTTTTTTCCCCCCTTTTTAGATTTCTTATCATTATGTCAGATTTATTAATGTAGTGAATCATCTGATTTTCATTGAGCAGGTTTAATATTCATTAATATTAATTAATATTCACTGAGGTGCCGCTGTTTAGAGTGGAAGGGTGAGCAGTCCACAGGTTAATGATGATCACGGGACTGGGAGAAATAAATAAAAAAACTGGAGCTGCGGCAAAATAACGGATAAAAAGAGTGATGTTATGGTCAAATAAACAAATAAATGAAAAAAGTGCAACTGCTGAGAGTGCAAGCAGCTAGGGACACCGGCCCTCGTGGCCAAAAAACAGACCGGCCCACCGGGAATTCTCCCGGTTCTCCCGATTAGCCAATCCGGGCCTGATCCATGCGCATTCATTTTAAGGAGGGGGCACTTTCATTTTAAGGATTAAAGATTTCTCTCCCAGAGAACAAAAGGGCGGGTGCTCAAGCACCCAAACCCCCCTTCTGCGCATGTATGTTGTTTATAACAAAGTAAAATGAAATAAATCAGCAAACAGAGATAAAATATCTCTGCCTTCACAGTTCAGTCTGTGGCTGCTCATTATTAACCCTTGATGAGTTCACAACACCGGTGGTCAGAAAGACACGCACCACAGTTGCCATAAATCATAAATGATCTGTGTTTTCAATCACAAGTGACTTATTTTAGGTTGCAAATGCCAAAATACACATAAGTAGAAGCAGAAAAACCTTTTACAGTTCATGAAATACACCACGGTTGTTCGTGAAAAGAGCAATAATCTTAATAAGCATATTCTGACAACGTGCTTCATACAGTATACACATTGTATGCATAATTAGACATTTTGTACCATCTGTAATTGTACTTTTGCGCATGTGGGTCAGTTTTAGGAACAGGATCTGATTACACAGAAAATCTGATATTGGCCACATTTATAACAGTGTGAACAGCTATGCTAAAAAATCTGCTCTGAGAAAAAATCAGATTTGAGCACTAAGCCTCACAGTGTGAATGTAGCCAAAGTGAAAGAACACACACACATGGTGAGCATACACCGGAAACAATGGGCAGCTATTGCTTCCAGCACCAGGGCAGCAATTAAGGGTTAGGTGCCTTGCTTTAAGGGTATAAAAGATGGAAAAAGTGTGGTTTCATTTAGTCCCCTATCTTTAATTCCTGCCATGGATGAGGAATTCAACCTGTAACCTTTCGAAAACAAGCCCAAATTTTTGTGGAAAATAGACAATTATCTTTTCAAATTGGAGTAACGATTGGTATTAACGTCGTAACTTGTATTGACATCCATAATGCAGACAGCATAGAGGTGTTGATTGAGTTGAGGAGAAAATGATCACAGAATCTTCATTTTCAAATATACTATTTCTTCAAATTGCAAAGGATGTTTGATTCCAATAAAATGATCAGATCACTGGTGGCAAACACAACCCCTTCAACTTTATTTAGAAACTGGCCTGTCATGAGCCCTGAGAGGGCTGTACTGCTTTCAGTTGTTTTTGTATGTTTACTTCCTAATGAAAACTTAATTATGAAATCCTCCTGGGCAACACTTCAAGCCCTGCGCTGGAGCCAGAGTTTTCCCAAACTATTTTTACAGCCAAAAACAAGCACAGATGAATTATTGAGCACATTTGGAAGAGCTGTTTACTCTAAACACATATGGCGCTAATTAAGGGTGGAAACAAGCATGGCTTGTACTTTCGTTAGCGATTCTCTCGGGTCGGAGCGCTTTTTGATGATACCCTTTGGTCTTTCTGAAGCACCATAATGATGCATTTTTGATGGACCCTTAATATGAACAATAAAACATGTGAGATGGTTGCAAAGTGGAGCAGGATCTGTGGACTAGGTTGTTAAGTCTGCCTTGAAGATTAAGATGCAATTTTAGCTTGACCATTGAGAGGGTTGCCTGAGTGGCACAGTGGGCTGTACTTCCTCATTACCTGCCACTGCAGAGGAGCCATCGTGCAAACGAATAGTGGGGTATGATCTTCTGAATCACGCTGGCCATTACCATGGTAACCACCAGCTGCACACTGATCACACCCTGAAGAGAAAGAGTGAAATATTAGAACACTTCCTGATCGCAGCAGCAAGGACACAGAACAGCATTCAGGGCAGTGAACTAGCCTCAACTGACAGTTTGGTTGGCTGTAACAGATGACTTTTAAACCAAAGTAGCAAAATTTGAAGAAAGATTGAGCATAAAAATGACTAGTCCACAGAGTAAGGAAAAATGTATTAGGCACCTCAAAAGGTAATAACCTTTGCAAATGATCTTGACTTCCATGGTCAAGCACCTACAGTGTTCTGTAATTGCCTTAAACACCCCAGCATCAAACTTCCCCGGTTGGAGCGTGGGAGGGAGAACTGTTAGCATCAATGGCCAATCTCACGCTCACCATCCACATGTATAAAGCTCGGTGTCCTGGCCTGTGTTAAGGAGACGGTGATGTGCATTCAAATGATGGCTGAAATGTGACTAGCTAACCATTTCGAAACTTGCACAAAAGAAATTTCCATGCCAGTATAGCTGGTGAAAAAAATGCATCTGAAACATTCTGTAATATCGTGATTGTGCAAGTTCGACTTGTTGAATTCTGTTACATCACTTATTGTATTATGGTCAGGATCTGTGGATACAATGAATGACTCTTGTTGTTTAAAATCTAGCATAGATATCACTGCACCTCTGGAAATGTTTAATGAAACAATAACTGAAAAATAAACATCAACACTGAAAATATACAGTTGCCAGTCAGAATGGGCAAGCCCCCTGATTTATTAGCCCCCAGTTAATTTTTTTCCCCAATTTGTGCTTAACGGAGAGAAGATTTTTTTCTATACATTTCTAAACATAATAGTTTTAATAACTCATTTCTAATAACTGATTTATTTTATCTTTGCCATTATGACATTAAGTTACTGTATCTGGCCTACATCCTTATGATTTATTTATGTATTTTTACATTTTATTAAAAATTAAGTTTGAATGACACTTCTTGTATTTGTCATATTTTACTTCTTTATGGCTACTGTATACATGTGTTACTAGTTTCTACTTCAAAAATAACATAAAATACCAGAGGGGTGGTTTGTAAAACATTGTAAACTGTGTGGGGAATGTGCTATAAGCAAAGCAAACACTACCAGATTACTGTTGTGTTTGCGATAAGAAAAAATGCTATACACATGCGGGCATTTCTTTGTTCTTTCTTTTTACTGAACTAGTCTGCAGTAACCAAAACAGGAGACACATTAGAAACAAACAGATGGCCAACCAAAAAGGGACTCAACATACTGCAATTATTATGGTATAAATACAGCACTACAACATACGAGAGAGATAGATGACTTAGAATGTCACTTACTAGTTTAATAATGTTTTGATGAGCTGTAGTTTAAAATTATGCTGTTTTCTCTTCTAAGGCCTTATTATGTCACCATATTGTGAATGGTGCTGTATCTCATAAATTCTAAATATTTAAAATAGGCACTACGCTTATAAATAAACTGCATTTTTGCAATCTAGACAACTACATTCTCACATAAAGAAGCCTAAAAAGTACATTATGTTGCCCAACAGCTGCAATATTTGTCAAACTGTAGTGATTTTATTGATCTGCTGTTACTTTATGTGGGCGGAGTAACACACAAGGGTGATATACATTTCATAATTCACTTCTTTGGAAATATGGTAAAATATCATTTAAAGACTTGTTGGGGTTTCTATGGACCAACAAAGGCAATTTTTGAAGCTGCGTCACGGTCATGACATAGCGTTGTATTCCAGTGTGCAGACTGGACGTCAGTCCATGAGTAAAGCTTGGTTCAAACCAATCAGTGTGCTCCATTGTGTAACTTCCTTAATATTCATTAGTCACAGTGTTTTGATGACAGAGACGCCACGTTGTGTTGGCAAAACAAGCGGGAAGTGTTGCTTTTATAGTTTGCTGCCATTAAGTTTTGTTTTTATTTTCTCTCTGTGAGAGCTCAGCTGGAGTCACGCGTGGATTAACAGTGTACGCAACGCTCGACAACAATAACTTACGTGTCTAAGGACGAACATTGTTTACCTGAGAGCTGTTCTCATCTGCAAACGCTGAGATCCGGATCGCTTTAGTCTCCTCTTAATAAAGACGTGGCTCTAGTTGCTGGTGATTGTCCTGTCTCTACAGATTTGGTAAGTGAGCGACCAGTGCTCTTTGTTTATTCAGTTTGTTCGTATCAAACTAAGTTAACTATTGCACCGAGTACAAACATGTTAGCACCACAACCAAACTTTAACCTCGTGTAGGATTTTCGCCGCATTTAGTGACCGGAATAACACACGCGGCTTTCTGATGCTACCTGCAGTGTGCATCTAAGTTTCCTGGAAATGCCGAGTTTTTTTTTATTCTCTCATTCGCCTTGCGGAATCATTCATGGCCCTTAAACAGTGTGTATGTACATCTAGTCATTCTCACTTTGTACATGTTATCAAAGGGGTGGGGGGGTGGGGATAGTCCGGCCCATTAGTGACCATCTTTCCATCATTAGCATAGGCAGCCCTGAGTGAGAAGAAAGAGCATAGAATCACCAAGAGGCGACACTCTAGTGCAATTTGGGAAACAGCCACTAGATGGGGCGGCAGCTTTTTTGGAATAAAAACTCTAATAGAACAACAGCATATTATAAGTCTATAAAATAAACTATTGAAAGTGCTGATGATTGTGATAATCAGCGTTGTATTATCGTCTTTCAGGTTATATATCAGCTTTAATGCGTTTTTTAAGTTAATAAATAAAAAAACAAGCAGCTGCTTGCCATCCCGACAGCAGTAAGATCCAATGGACAGTCGACCGCTTTTACTCCAAAATGGCGGAATCCGGGGCTGTTGCAATGGAACGTTCTATTGAGTGTCGCCTCTTGGCCATTCTAAGCTTTTTGGTGAGAAGCAGCCGTCCACAGCAAGTTTTTTGTTTTGTTTTGAACCTGTTGCTATGCTGACGTACAGGTACATTTTTAGCCCCACCCTCTTTTAAAAAGAGGTCTAGGAGCACAACCTATTTTGAAAATTAAGTGACAGTCACCAAAACAGCACAATTTGGATCAGCCTAAAAAAGGTAGTTTCAATGACTTATAAAAAAATACTTATAGAGTATTATGAGCTGAAACTTTAAAAAAACATACACTCACACAAGGGACATCAAAGACTTATTTTACATCTTGCAAAAAGAGGTATAATAGGTCCTTTTTAAGACATTTCAAGCAGCTTTTGAAAATGTGATTTTAAATTAGTGTTTACAATATTTGTTTTGCTCACCGTATCCAAACTACAGAAATAAGCAATTAATTCAGTTATTCAAAAATGATAACCTTTGCAAATCATCTTGACTTCCTCATTTACATTCATCCCATGTTTTAAAGTTAGCATCAAACTTTTACATTTACAGGATGAACAGCTGTGATTTTTAAGCACTTGTGCAGTGACTTGATTTAATTCACAGTAAAACACTGTGAAAATGAGCGCCTCAGCATATAGCTTTCACAGTGAATTACTCACTCGATAAGCAGCATGAATGCAAAGCTTTCCGTAAAATGAGAAAAGTTTTATTTCGTTCTATTCTGCTTTTCGCCACTCTGATGCCAAAACCTGGACAAAAGTAAAGCCACACAAAGACACAATAGCTATAATGTGCTGCAGTGAAACACATGAAAGCAGCCGCATGCTTCTTTTCACTGCTGGTTACAGGCAACTCTGAGTGAACCTAAGCTTGTTTCTCTCACTTCACCTGAAACAGGCAGGTATCCCATTGCCGAGGGAACTATAGGAGCTATGAGAATGAATGAGAGACTGCTGGTAATGGAGCCGTCATGTTGAATCAATTAATATTATGTTTTTACATGGGCTACAATCAAGTGTACATTTTAATGATTTGTTCCATTTAAAGATTCTGGCACAAGCAAGAACTTAGAAAAACACTTTTTTATTAATAATTTATACTTTTTACTAACTTGTGGAGAAATTTTGGATCTATTTATTAATCACAGGAAGGGGTGTAACACGGTATTGGGTGTACCCCCACCTTTCAAAATAATTCATTTATTTTCCTTTAGCTTGGTCCCTTATTTATCAGGGGGTTGCCACAGTGGAATGAACCGCCAACTATTCTGGCATATGTTTTACGCAGCAGCTGCCTATCCAGCCACAACTCAGTACTGAGAAACACCCATACACACTCTCTTTCAAACACACGCACTCATACACTATGGTCAGTTTTGTTTACCAAATTCACTTATTTGTCTTTGTATTGTGAGGGAAACCGGAGCACCCAGAGGAGTGGTCAGGGATAGAATGTGCAAACTCCACAAAGAAAGGCCAACTGACCCAGCCTGGATTCAAACCAGCAACCTTCTTGCTGTGAGGCGACAGTGCTAACCACTGAGCCACCGTGCAGCCCACTTTTAGGTTAGGTTGATTAAATACAGGAAATGGGATTAAAATCGAAAACATTTTCCAAACCAAAGTTACACCCTTGATCACATGTAATTGGATTTTTCAAAAATATTAGTATGTGTTATTTTTGGTATGTGAGCGAAAGCAGATATTTAAGCAAAATGTTAATGCACTTTTGCTTGAAGCCATTCACAAGGAATGAGGCATTTTAGGCAGTCTAAGGGGTTTTTGGACATTTCCTGAAAAAAGGCTAGTAAAACAAAATGAAAATTTACTCACCATTTAGTTGCCTTCAGGTCGATCCGAACATTTTGAGTTTCTTTTTTTCTGCTGAGCCTAAAATAAAATATTCTGGAGAAAGCTGGAACCCCTTGACTTCGGGCTGGCCGATAAAAACAGTATTGGTATTTATTGACCGAACACTACTGCCAATAACGATTAAAAAAACTTTGGTATAAAATTTTGATATGAAGATTAGGGTTAGTTTTATTAAAATTTGGCAAGAAATGTATGGCAATAAGCTTTGGGTGTAATTTTGTCACGCGACTTGCAGCGCAAATAGGGAGCGACATGCACATGGTGTGCAAGCATTTTCCAGACGCACCTTGCTGAAAAACATCTGAAAAATCTGCTTCACATTTTGTATGGAATATACACCTTTCAGTAACGGCAGACTAAATACTAAGGAAAAAAACAGCGCATCCATACACTGCCATGCTTTTTCCTTTTTTTCCATAAACTTGTATCAGAGCTGAAGCAATGGTTTGTCCGTTTATCATTCTCTGAGAAAACGGTTGATAGTTGCCTAGAGAAAGTCGCGAGGGGAGCCCTTTTCATGTTTCATGCCATGTGTTTTAAGTTGCGTTATCGCCACTTCTGGCCAGAATAATAACACACACAAAAATAATTGCTGTAAAACAGCAGTGAGGAGATTGCAAATAAAAAAGGATGCAAGGATGACGCCAGAGTGGATTTTTGGTTTCTTTTCTTGTGCATCCCAGCCTCTAGCACCCCATCTGAACGATTTTTAAAGCATAGCAGTAATGTGGTCATTCAACTTCATGATTTGTTGCAGTATGTATTTGAATAATGATGGTCAGTTCCTTTACCTGAAAGCTCAGATTTGATTATCATAATCTGTGTTAGAGGTTTATTGTATCATTATTACTGACACTTTACAGATGTTTATCTACCTTTATTATTGCACACACTTTGTATCATTTTATTTATCAAGTTTAAGAGTCTCTTTAAGACTTTTGTTTGTTTTATTATAAAGAGTTGAGCTATTTTGTTTAAATATTTTTGTTTTTGACTATTAAAACTATTTGCCTCAGTATAAAAAAAACTCCTAAATGTATTGGTAATAATATTTAACAATTATTAATACCCAATTATATGAAACATGACATTGTGATACATATTGTGAAACATGATATTGGTTATTATTATTTATTTAATTTATAATTTTTTTTTTTTTTTGCAATATCGGCCAGCCCTACATTGACTCCCATAGTAGGAAAAACAAATACTATGGAGGTCAGTGATTATGGATTTCCATCTTTCTTCAGAAAATCTTTTGTGCTGAACAGAAAAAAGAAACTCAAACACGTTCGTGACAGTCAAAGGGTGAGTAAATGATGACAGAATTTTACATTTTGGGTGAATGTCCATCAAGCAATGAAGGTAATATCAAAACAGTTTCCACCGAACTTCTCTCTAGATGACTTAAACCACCACTCTGGACATTTCTCCTATATAAAAATGGGACGCCTCCCTTGCTGGGGAAGTTTGATCTATCAGTGTAAGTCACCATGAGAGGTTGGGGCCGCTGAGGTAATTGAAGCAGCATGGGACACTTATCTGACTTGCTGGCAGTGACCTGGACAGCACAGGGGCCAAATGAGCTCTGAAGGGGGCCACTGAAGATAACCAGCAGGTCCGAAAGCTCAGTCACCATATGAGATAATGGTCAAGAGGAGAACTGCTCTGGTAAAGTATGGATTTTGAGCTCTTCAAAAACAGCCTGTGGCGACACGTCAAAATTCGAGGATTTCCAATTAAATTCCATCCATTACCTCACTCAGTTATTGCTGGCATGTTGTAGATTCTAATTTAAACAAGAGCAAAATAAGACTAATGGCACTGAAAGGAAATGACAGTTTTATAACTGATAATAGAGTGTATTATATGATATATTATTTACATCACCTTAATTCTACATTTTACACTTTATAAATCAGAAGTTGCCAGGTTCGGTCCAGGAGGGCTAGTGTCCTGCAGAGTTTATCTCCAACCACAATAGGTCACACTTGCCAATAGATTTCTAGTCATCTTGAAGATATTAATTAGAATGTTCAGGTATGATAATTGTTGTAGGAGCAAAACTCTGAACCCGCTAAACAAGCTTTTGCAAATGTCTGTATTACTTACTATTGGAAAACCTGTAATGCTAACTTGGTCACATAAAAGCATGTCTTAGCCAATCACATAGCGGCTTTAAGTCTCCTTTCCTGTGTACTGCCATACAGAAGCAGCATTAGCGTTAGCCAGTTTGCTTTTTAGGCTAATGATATTTAGGAGTGCTTTCAATTGGCTTTGCTGAGTGTAGACATTCCCTGGTTGGTGTGTTCAAGCAAGTTGGAGCTAAGCTCTGCAGGACACCAACCCTTTAGGACCGTGTTTTCCACCCCTAAACTGTTAAAAGTAAAAAAGCATTTACAGAAAAATCATTGAAGTCTGTCTTAAGCCCACCTATGAGGTCTTCTTAACCACTTGTGAGCAAGAACAAGACAGGAAATAAGTGATCAAGACTGAACAGTATTTGAAGATAAGAAGTGTTAAAAACCGGTTTCCAAAGGGCCACTAGCTCCAACCCAAACAGAGAAAATAAAAAATATTTTTAAAAGTTTTTAAAAATTTTTTTATAACACCGACTCCAAATCTAGGCCTTAAATTACACTAGAAAAAGAACTGCTAAATGACTAAATGATTAAGGTCAAAATATTAGCACAGCTAATCCTCTGATCTGTGTGATGCTGACCCTTCAGGAGTATGATGGTTGGTCGAAGCATATCATTCAGTTATGGTCTTCATTATGTTTAGGAACTTGTGTCATCTGCTACATACAGACTATTAAACAGGTACTTACATGTGTATTTTATTTGAAATGTATTTAAACACATAGTACTGACAGTCAAAATGTGTATATAAAGCTCTGTAACTCCACGTGTGTCCCATTGACACGAAAAATCAATGTTTATACACAGTTGTGGTCTTCACCCTAACCTAAACAATTGAGTTATTTTCTTTAGAAATGTGTTGTAAAAAATCTCTCCGTTAAAATGGGAAAAAAAAATTTACAGGGGGCTAATAATTAAGGGGGGCTAATTATTTCAGACTTTAACTGTAAGTATGGCTTTAAAGCAACATTGGCACTGTTTAAGTGACTGTGAACGATCTTATATATTGACAGTCATTGCCAATAGCTTATATGATTTCCCTATTTAGAATTAGCAAAAGATACTTTTTTGAAATTGTATTATTAAAAAGAAAGTCTGAATATGAACATAAAATCAACTTTACCCCATTGCCAGCACCGGGTGAGACACACAAGCACACAAGTGTCAAAGCCAGTTTAGTTCCGGCCATCCAGGAACTGGCTTTAACACCTGTGCACTAGCAGAACCATCATGTCTATTGAGGACACTCATGTAATGATGTAATGTAGCAAAGATGGTGAAATTTGTAACTAACTGATGCCCCATTAACACCAATGCATTTTAGAGTTAAAACAACATTTTAGAATAAAAACAATCCGCGTCCGCACTGGCATTTCAGGACAACTCTCCATCCACACCACATTGCTGAAAACGCACATCACGTGACCACACACACACACACACACACACACACACACACACACACACACTGGCATGCACTGCCATGCTTTGAGCACATCCAGGCTACTTAATATTGTGGAAAAGCCCCAATCAGATAGTAGAATGTCTGCAGCCATGCCTCCGTTTTTAGATGTCTCAGTTTTCCCCCATCCACACTAAGACGGAGCAGCAATGTTTTAAAATGAAAACGGCCTTTCAAGCATTTCCATAGAGCTTAGTTTTCGGCACTTGAAACTCTGGTATAGTGTGAACAAATAGTGTAACTGTAGCAAAACGTGTTTTAAAACTAAAACGTATCAGTGTAACAGGGCCTGAGGCTCAGAGAATTGTTATTTTGTTGTGAACCATCTCTTTAAAAGTGACAAGCTTTATAGTTGTTATGGTGGGTGATGTCACCCTATCAGCAGAGGGCAAACTGAGGTCAAAAGCAGAGACTTTACCTGCACACTGAGGTAAAGTTTGTTTTATATTCACACTTTCATTTCATTCATTTTTAAAAAGTAGCAACTTGTAACACTGCCCTGATATTGTTTATCATGTTACTTTGAATATTTGGTCTGAAATAGCCCATAAGTATGAATTCAATGCAGCATTAACACCGTTTAATTGACTGTGAACAATGTCCCACTTTGACAGTCATTGCTAAAAGCTAATACAATTTCCCTATTTAGAATTTGCAAAAGATATTTTTCTGAAATTATATCAATAAAAAGAAAGTCTAAATGTACGAATACAAAACCAACTTTACCCCAATGCCAGCACCAGGTGAGACACACAAGCACACAAGTGTCAAAGCCAGTTTCTGGAGGTCCGCTGTTCTGCACAGTTTAGTTCCAACCCTGTTTCAACACACTTACAGAACCTGTAGGTTTTAAACAAGCCAGGTGTGTTTAATCAGGGTTGAAACTAAACTGTGCAGAGCTGTGGCCCTCCAGGAACGGAGTTTGACACCTGTGCACTTACAGAACCATTATGCCCATCAAATACACTGATTTAACAAAAAAAAAAAAAAAATACAAATTTGTAATTAACGTTAACTTAGGCTCAGGAAATTGTTTTTTTTTTATTTATTTATTTTTTTTGTGTGAACATTCTCTTTAAAAGTGACAAGCTTTGTGGTTGTTATGGTGATAGATGTCATCCAGTCAACGGAGGGTAAACTGAGGTCAAAATCAGAGACTTTACCTGCACCAGGTGAGACACGCTAGCAGAATTACAATGTCCATTGAGTCCACTCATTTAAATACGACATTAAATGACATAATTTCACATTTCTTTTTTAAATACCACCACACATTTAAAGTATTAACTTATCTCAGCCCTAACGTTACTACATGAAGTCGTTACCCAAATCTACAAGCATGGCTGCAAGCATCAAAACCTTTAAGCGTCACTGCCATACATCAATCATTAGACTGAGCAGCTAAATAAAATATTCTCCGGTTATATGACTGTAAACATGACAGCACCGATAATCAGCTCTTCTCTTACCATTTTGATGTAGCAGTGCTGTGAAAGATCTCAACGCCGGCTGACACTCTGAGCACCCCGGAGCGGAGATCCAGCGGCACGGTGCACATAAGCCTGTCTTACGGGGCTTTTATTTGAGATTACTGTGTTGACTGGTAAAACGAAGACCTAAACAAACATCCCACTAATCGAGCCGCGGCTCCGCTGTGTTTTCAACAGCAGTAGAGGTCACGCTCAGACTCTCGGTTGCTCAGCTTGCCAACGACAGCCTCTCAGGATCGACGACTCCCAGAGTGCGCTAATAATATATATTGGAGTCACACTGAACTCTCGGATTGGCTAATATAACGTGTTTTAATGTGTGTTCACATTTCAGGTATGTTTGAAACGAAAATCTTGTATAATTTGATTTCTTTGAAACAGGCACTGGTTTGGGCGAATTACAAATCTTGCAGGACCCCTTCACCGGAAGTAGTGAAGGGAGCACATGTGACGTTTTTCTACCGGTGTTGTTATTTATTTAACCCTCACAGGACTGAGGAACATCTGTGTGAATATGCTCCTAACAACCTCCAGTTTTGTGATGTGTTTGGTGAAATCTGAGGTAACGTTACACTGACAGTGTTTAGGGATAAAAGTAGGGTAAAAGTATTCAAACTCTTTATGTGCTTTATTATATGATACGTTTTTTATTTTTAAATTTAAAGTGTTGAAAGATATCGTTAATGTATTATCCATGCAACTAAATTGTGCCTTAAAATTGTGTCAATAGAATAAAATAAGATAAAAAATAATCCAGCAAACATTTTATTAAGTTTAATAAATAAACACTAAAAAAGCAAAAAAAAACTTTAAATAATATAATTATTAAATAATAATTAAATGACATTTAGGTAAATAATAGCATATTTATTAAAATAAATAAAACAAATCTGATTAAAATGAAAAATCCAAGTATATTAAAATAAGTTACACAGCATTTATAGATGAAAATGCTATCACATTTTTTCTATATTATCTTATTATATTCTATAGACTTTTTTTTCGTTTGTTTATTAATGCATTATAAAATTATTATTACCTGAATGTTAAAAAATAGAAGCAACGACAATAATAAGCCAACAATATAAGAAAAGCAACTTTTTTGTCTTAATAAGTTTTTTTTTATATATATATAAATTTAAAGCAGGTGAAGCGGTGGCGCAGTAGGTAGTGCTGTCACCTCACAGCAAGAAGGTCGCTGAATTGAGCCTCGGCTGGGTTAGTTAATATTTTGTGTGGAGTTTGCATGTTCTCCCCCGTTCGTGTGGGTTTCTTTCAGGTGCTCCAGTTTACCCCACAGTCCAAAGACATGCGGTACAGGTGAATTGGGTAGCCTAAATTGTCTGTATTGTATGAGTGTGAATAGATGTTTCCCAGAGGTAGGTTGCAGCTGGAAGGGCATCCACTGCGTAAAACATATGCTGGATAAGTTGGCGGTTCATTCCACTGTGGCGATCCCAGATTAATAAAGGGACTATGAATAAAGGAATGAATTTAAAGGGTTGAAATTGAAAGATATAATTTAAAAAAAGGTTAAATGTATTATCTTCTAACCAAAGAGCTACTGAATTGTGCTTTAAAATTGTGTAAGTGTAGTTAATAAAATAAAATAAGATTTTAAAAAATCTAGGAAACATTTTATTAAGTTTCATAAAAAATTATAAAAAAAAATCGTATTAAAGTGATCAAATTATTATAACTATTATAAAATAAAACATAAGTAATAATAATTCCATAGCAAACAAAAAGCTTTTGAGTTGTGCTTTAAAATTGTGTGAAATCATAAGAATAAAAAAGTTCAAGATAAACAAGCAAACATTTTGTTAAGATTAATAAAGAGACACACTTCAGAAAACAAAAAATAAAAAAAACTGATTAAAATAAAATAATTATTTAAAAAAAACAATACATAAATAATAATGAAATTACATTAACCAAAATAAAAGCATCTACACTAAAATAAACAAATGCAAATCTGATGAAAATGAAAACTACAACTAAGCACCTTCCGACTGGAACAATCTCCCTTCCTTTTTTAGATCAATTAAATCACTTCGTCTTTTCAGGACTAATTTATTTTCTCTTCTGGAAACAACTTGCGAATGTTATTAATAGTGGCTCCAAATTAAATGTTTATTATTTATTTGAATATCAAATTGTTTGTACTTTTGATTATATGTTTTTGCTTATTTAGGCTTCAGATCGTGGGAAGTGCTTCAGGTGGAGTGTGCTGCTTGTTTGTTTGTTTGTCTTGTCAAGTATATGTAGGTTATGATGTGTTGTACTCTGTTTAATTAATGAACTTTTTAGGGACCCCCTCGAAAATGAGATGATTCATCTCAAGGGGCTATACCATTCAATAAATTCAAAATTATGTTAAAATAAGTACATAAATAAACAGAAATGTAAAAAATATTAATAAAACTTATTTTAGGCCAATTTATAATATTGACTTTTCACAGTATTCATTAGGTCTTTATAGGAATGCAGATTATATTGTTTCAGCATCGATATCACAATGTGATCAGTGATCATTCCCAATAGTCACATCGCAGGATATGCAATGTTGAGATTGCAGTATAATTTATGATTTGCATGTGGTTTTGTTGCCTGTGACTGTATACTGATTTTTAAAGCATTCGAGTATATGAAATTGAAGCACTTGTGACCTTAACTACGATTAATTTTATTGAGTTATTTTTACTTTTGTCATTCAGATACTGTACTTCAATAGTGTTACGGGGAATGATAAAACACTTTATTTCAATTGTATCTTTCATGATTATGTTTATAGATTGTTGTGGAAGAAAATACTCACAACACATGCAAATACAGAAAGGCACTGCAAATAGCACTGACAACAACGAAAATGGAGAAGCGTTTGAAGAACTTTGGAGAAGCATTATTGCAGAATCATCACAATAAAGCTAACATTATAAATTCTGTCCAAATAGAGATATTAAGTCATCTGGTGATATTGTTTTTATATTACAATATATTGCACAAAATAAAATATTTAAAAAATGGCAATGCTAGATTTTTACAATATCGTACAGCCCTAGTCTTTATACATTAAACTATATAAAAGATTTTTCTAGGAATAAATATTGCTAACATTTTCTCTTTTTTATTATATATAGCTGTAAAAGGCAAAGCGAGGTTGCTTAATTTGTAGTCTAATCAATCAAATGAGCTTTTTCACATTTACCTGATGCAGAAAGCAGTATTAGTAAATGAGTAGGTGTATTCACACTCGTATGGTAGTGTAAATAAATAGCATTGGCTCATGTCTGAATAATCCCTGTCTCTCCCATGTCATTATTTCTGTGTACAGTAAACAAGATCTACTTATCCTCTATTTACTAAAGACCCCTGTATGTCTATAACCGTCAAATACAGATAGAGATTTAGAATGCCTTATTTATTTTTATTTTAGATGTGTTGTCTGTCTTCCCAGGTTTAATCAGTAACCTTCATTTGATGATTGTGTTTATTATAGTTATCGCATTTACTTCGAAACTAATTGAGAAATAGAGTGCTCTAATAAGGAATGCTGAGTAAATAGTTGATGCTGCTGTGTGAACAACAAACACACATTAATCTGCCTGAGCTGGCCGTAAATGGTGGTTCAGTGCTGAGCATGAATGATGAGGAAAGCTCAATTTAACCTTTAAACGGAATGTTTGAATTGAAATGATTGAATTGTTAAGGGGCAATGCATCATTCATTTCTTCCTTTATTCATTCGTTTACTTGTATATTGACTGATTTAAATATGTTTTTTCTTTGGCTGTAATTACTAAAGTTTTCAATATTTCTTTGTTTATTAAATATGCTTATTCTGCAGTATTTATATAAAATATTACCTACATTCCAAACTGATTTCTAAATATAGAGCCATATTTATCGGTAAACGCACATCTATTTTCCACTAATAGCTAGACAGTTCCTCAAACCAGTTTAAATGCATTTATTCTAAACAAATGAACATTTTTGAACCAGAAATTGTTAGTAAATGTCATAGTTACAAAAAAAAGCATGTAGTGTAGATTTTTAAATTCGAAACGAAAAAAAAAAAAACTAACTAATATATATGTATGTGGGTGATTGTAGAATTATGGGTAGTTGCATCTCCAAGACAAAGATATTTTTTTAGAAAAAAAATCTTAATGAAATATAAATCACATCTCTAAAAATAATGTTTATGTGTGTTTTGTATTTGGGGATATTCTGGCTTGAAATGAACTCAATGACTCTCACAATGCCGAAGATACCCAAACTCAGTCCTTGAAGGACTGTGTACGACAGAGTTTAGCTCCAACTTGCCGTAACACACCTGCACTTATCACTGTTTAGTTCTCTCGGATCTACGTCGTTGATTATATTACACCACCCACTACTGGCTGAACATCTGAATGGGTTCAAAGGGAATGCCATAAAACCTTCAGTACTACACTGTTGTGATGTCAGACTTGCATTGCATTCTGGGACATATAGGTAGCCTACTGGAGTAAAGCTGACTTGCTTCATTGGTCAAAATTGAGAGATCAAGGGTATGTCCATGAAAGCTTCCCTCGTTCACTTGATGAAGTTGAACACACTTAAAAATGGTGGTGGGGATGCCCCTGAGGAAACAAGGGAAGGGAAGTTCAAAAGTGCATTTTTAAAAGTGGAGTGGAACGCAGCAATAGGCTGCATTCGAAATCGCATACTTCCATACTGTATAGTGCTATAAGGTTGCACTTATATTATGCTATACGAACTGTGTCCAGGCATGTTTCCCAGTTCGTTTGACAAGCGTGAGTGCTCTAAATCGGGCCCATGCACGCTTTAGTTGGCTTTTCTGTGTGGAGTTTGCATGTTCTCCCCATGTTTGTGTCCTTGGGGTGCTCTGGTTTCCACTACAGTTCAAAGACATGTACTGTAGGTGAATTGCGTAAGCTAAATTGTCCGTAGTGTGCATTTGTCCTGGGGCCTCATGTACGAAGACTTGCGTTGAATTAAAGGTGCAGTTGGTGATCTTTCACAATGCTAACAGCTTAGCATTAATCTCTGAATCACAGTCCCTCCCCTGCCGTCTAGAGCCACGCCTCCTTAAGCACAAGCACAGCAAAAGAACACACTCTCATGTGTTAAAAGCGACTAGTGCTTGTCCGGCGGCGAGCAAGTCAAACTG